AAGACACCTGCATGTTTGGGGTTGTCAGGCAGAGATTAGATATTACAATCCGCAAGAAAAGAAACTAGATGCAAGGACAATCAGTGGTTATTTCATTGGTTATCCAGAAAAATCGAAAGGGTACAGATTTTACTGTCCTTATCATACTACAAGGATTATTGAATCTGGAAATGCAAGGTTCATTGAGAATGGTGAAGTTAGTGGGAGTGAAACACCACGTAAAGTGGATATTCATGAAGTGAGAGTACAAGTTACATTACCTTGTAGCTCTAGTAAAGTTATTGTTCCTTATGCTATTGAACCAATCAATAATAATGAAGGACAAGTTAATGATCCCACTACTTATGAAGAGATCATTGTTGATGAACCGAATGAACCCATAGTAGAAGAACCACAACAAATAGCATTAAGAAGATCTCAAAGAGAAAGGAGACCTGCTATTTCTAATGATTATGTGGTATATCTACAAGAATCTGAATTTGACATGGGTATTCAGGATGATCCAGTAACGTTTTCACAAGCCATGAATGGAGAAAATGGTGATAAATGGTTAGATGCCATGAAAGATGAGTTGAAATCTATGGAACAGAATAAGGTCTGGGATCTTGTTGAGTTACCAGAAGGGTGCAAGAGAGTTGGTTGTAAATGGGTCTTTAAGACCAAACGTGACTCTCATGGTAACTTGGAACGTTACAAGGCCAGACTAGTTGCAAAGGGATTCACTCAGAAAGATGGCATTGACTATAAAGAAACTTTTTCACCAAAAGAAGGATTCGTTAAGAATTATTATGGCATTGGTGGCTCATTATGATCTAGAGTTACACCAAATGGATGTGAAAACCGCCTTTCTAAATGGAAATTTAGATGAAGATGTGTACATGGACCAACCAATGGGGTTCATAGAAAAGGGTAAAGAGCACATGGTGTGCAAACTTAAGAAGTCAATATACGGACTTAAACAAGCTTCACGGCAATGGTACCTTAAGTTCAATGATACCGTTGTTTCCTTTGGATTTAAAGAAAACATCATTGATCGATGTATACATCTAAAGATCAGTGGGAGCAAGTTTATATTATTGATTCTGTATGTTGATGATATTTTGCTGGCAACTAACGATCTTGGTCTTTTAACTGAGACAAAGAAGTTTCTCTCTAATAACTTTGAAATGAAAGATATGGGTGAGACAGTTTATGTGATAGGAATAGAAATATTACGTGATAGATCACAAGGACTGTTAGGTTTGTCTCAGAAAGCATATATTAATAAAGTTCTAGATAGATTCAGAATGGAAAACTGCTCATCATCTTCAGTCTCAATTCAGAAAGGAGATAATTTTAGTCTCATGCAATGTCCTAAAAGTGAATTGGCACAGAAAGAAATGGAAGGAACTAAAGGTCACATGCTTACTTATAGAAGGTCTAAAAACCTTGAAGTGAATGGATACACAGATTCAGATTTTGTAGGATGCGTAAACACAAGAAAGTCTACATGTGGTTACCTGTATCTTTTATCTGAATGAGCTATATCATGGAAAAGTGCGAAGCAGACTGTAATAGCTGCGTCCACTATGAAAGCTGAATTTGTGGCATGCTTTGAAGCCACGATTCAGGCTAAATGGCTACGGAACTTTATTTCAGGGCTTGGATTGGTCGACAATATTGAAAAGCCGCTGAAAATTTATTGTGATAATTCCGCAGCAGTCTTCTTTTCTAAAAACGACAAATATTCCAAAGGTGCTAAACATATGGAATTAAAGTACTTTGCCGTTAAAGAAGATGTTCAGAAACATAGAGTGTCAATAGAGCATATTAGCACCGATCTTATGTTAGCTGATCCCTTGACGAAGGGACTATCGCCCAAGACATTTACTATGTAAAATGGGCATTATGTCAGCTAGTGAATGATGAAAAATTATAGTTATGCATTAAGTGTTGACACTCTGAGCTCATTGATGAATATATGTTTCTGATATTGTCTTATTTTCAATTTATGAATGCATGCAAGTATATGTGATGATATTGAAAATAATTATGGTCCGTTATGAAGACATTATTGTTGGATATAATGTACACTTCCTATTAAAGTATCATGTTAGGAAGAAGAGTCAATATAGTAGTACATGGAAGGGACTATGCCGACTTGATAGCATACAACCGCCATGACTCATGTTGATTTTATTTCTAATAATGAATTATGATGACGTCAATGTATGGAACCTTTAGCTTAGTAAATGCGCATTAAAGTTAATGTTAATTAAATCATGAAGGGACACCTTATGACATGAGCCAAGTGGGAGAATGTAAAACTATTTGCGTCTCATGTGTGATGTGTGTCAATTGGTTTGATTAATAATAAAAGAGGCTTTAAGGTAATTGACATTTCGTATTAATGGGAATTGACGTTTTGACGTTTTGCATTATGGAAACGTTTCGCATTAATGGTAATTGACGTTTTGACGTTTTACATTATGGCAACGTTTCGCATTTATAGTAATTGACGTTTTGACGTTTCGCATTAATGGGAAGTTACACGAAGTTAATTGAAATTCTGTAACTGGTGACATGGTTCAGTTATATAAAGTGAAAAGTGGTGAGTCTCTGACAATGATAATCTCTCAGAATTCTCTCCTTCATGGTCTGCCCATAAAAGTTGTATCAAATCCCTGTCATAGACGATACAAGGAAAGCAGAGGGTAAAGACTCTGAAAAACAATCTTCCATCATTAAAGTTCTTCATCAGAGTTCTTCCGCACTAATGGAGAAAGGTACGCTCTTATGTGAAAATCATGAATTCTAAAGATCTTCTATCATGTTCTTAGAATGTTAATTGATGAACATGAATCATGAATCATGAATCATTGTTGAAAAGCTTACATACTTTCCCATTTTAGGATTGGCATTCACAATACTTTCAATTATCCGAGTCAAAAATTTCATGTCTGAGAAGCACATGACGTTCAAACTTTTGGAGACTCCCGACTTTTAATGGTGTTAGAGTGGGATAAGGAGGCCCCATGCTGCAGACATAATTCTTATAAGAAGATATTTAATAAATGAAGAGAGATATTTTCACTACCAAAATTTTTCACTACTAACTTACTACCTATCTAATCACTATTAGATTAATATTTTCTCTCTCTTCAAATTTTTTTTAACATTCTCTCTCTTTGATCCAATGGTGATGTGATGTGTAGTAAGTTAGTAGTAAAAAAATTTAGTAGTTAGAATATCCTTACTCTTAATAAATAACTTACATTTATTTGTTCCACTATTTCATTTTCATATTTTTTTTTCCTAATTCAAATCTTCTAAAAACCTAACTAGTTAAATGAATTCATATGAATAAATAAATATATATATATATATATATATATATATATATATCATAAAAATATTTTTTCAGTTACTACAGATAAGTTATATGCATTTACTCCCAAAACGACGTCGTTTTAGAATTGAAATATTAAAAATTTATAATTATAAAGACTATAATAACCCTGAAATAAATTAAAATTATAAAAACACCATGATTTCCGTCCTAAAACCACATCGTATTGGGCTTACTGCAGATAACTTATCTGCAATAAGTAACCGCAGAAAAAATGAACCCTATATATATATATATATGGAAAAAAGATTTGTAATATGACTGCATATGAGTATTGGTGCAGTCACCTAAAAACTACGTCATTTTGGGTGAGATAAAGGAAGTTCGCGTTCAAAATTAATTGTAGGAAATGGAAACATTATATTTGTTTTCACCTTTGTATGATTATGATTCCCCATACTTAATATTTTATATTTTTTTTTATCTTTGTATGCTTATGATTTTCCAAATTTAGTGCTTTTACACTATAAAACGACGTAGTTTCATATGACTGCACCAATCCTTAGGTGCAATCACGGTACATCCGCTAAACCCTATATATATATATAGAGTTATTATTTCTCAAGTTGTTAGAGATAACTTTATCTCCGGTTACTAAATCATAATCGTACAAAGATGGATCAATGGTAATAAAGGAAGAGAGAGAAAAAGTGAATCATAACTATTCAAAGGTGAATCAATTAATATATGAAAATAAATAAACAAAACGACATAGTTTTTAAGTGGACGGAGATAAATATATCTCAAGCTGCTTCAGAAATATTTTTCTCTCTCTATATATATATATGGTTCGATTTTTCAGCAGCTGCTTTACGTACAGTAATGATAAATTTTTCATATATAGGTTAAAGCATTTAATGTGAAAAATTATAACCATACAAAAGGTGAAAGCATTAAATGTGAGAAATCATAACCATACATTTGTCATTGTTGCACGCACAATAACTTTAGATATGATTTTATTATATATATGGATTTATTGTTTCTCCCCTAACAGGAGATAAAATTACCTCTTTTCAACCCCAAAACTACGTCATTTTGAGGGTTAGAGAAATTATTAAAAGGTGTTTTAATAATTTGGTTTGTTTCTTTGTTATATAAATTTTACCAAAATAGCCTTCATTAATTACCCTAACCCTCAAAACGACATAGTTTTTAAATTGCAGGAAATAATTTTATCTCTTGTGATAGGAGAAACAATAATCCCTTTACATATACATACATATATATATATATATAAATATATATATAAAGCAAATCATTTTATATCAGTATAAGTTATATTCTTATTTGACCTTTCATTGTATTTATATCTATTGGTTCTAATTTATTAAATATGTGGGCATTTTGATATACACTCACATCTTAAATAAGTATATTTATATTTTTAACATGAATGCATAAATCTATTTTATCTTATGCTAGAATATTCCACAATATCAAGTAGAATAACGGGGACAACAATACTTGAAGTGTAATACTGATTAAGCTAATTTTTTTTTTTTTTTTTTGAAAAACGATTAAGCTAAATTTAAGTTTAGCTCAAATGTAAGTTAAATGAAATTCAAGTCAAACAAGAGATGAAATTGAACTATGAATCTTCATTGTCATGAAGAGAATAATTATTATTATTCACTTTCTATCATTTACACATGAAAAGATTTTATTCCAAATAGAAAAAAATCAGTAGGAAGAGGAAAAAGATTTGTGAGATTGAGTAGCAAGAAGCTCAGTTCTCAACAGGAGACTACTCTTGGGGTAATTTAAGATATGATAAAATTAAAACCATACATATATTTGAACATATTCAGGGATGCAACTTTGATAATAACAATCTATAATAATAATTGTGATTGATTTCACCATTTATAACATTAAGCTGGAACAGTTCTGCTCGTAGTAGATTGTTGCTCAGTAATCTCATCACCACCTTCATCTTCATTCTCTCCACTCAACTCCTCCAATGATTTTCCTTTTGATTCTGGCACCAACAAAGTGAAAAATATGCCAAGACAATTAACCACAGCAAGCACAATAAGAGTGTTCTTCATCCCAATACCAGCAGGGTAACCTGCATCTCTCTTTGCTGGATCCTTGTCTTGTGAAGCATACAAGAATCCAAATGCTCCCACAATCCCTCCAGCTTTCCCTGCAGCTGATGATATACCATGACATGTTGACCTCAACCTTGCAGGGAAAATTTCAGCAGGCACAACAAAAGTGGTTGAGTTTGGACCAAAATTTGCGAAGAAGAAGGTGAATGCATACATAACAAGAAACCCAATTCTATGACTTTTTTGTATCCAGTGATGATATGGAATAGCAAGTGCAAACATGAAAACTGTCATGAAGAAGAACCCCATGAGTTGGATGAAGAAACGACCCAGTATGTCAATGAAAGCCACTGTGAACCAGTAACCTGGAATAGTACCACAAAGTGCTATAAGTGCTGTTGCTCTTGCTACCTTATAAACTTCATGAATTGCATTCATTTCTTGTGCAGGAGGGAGCCACCCAATGTTAGAGTAAATGTTATTTTGGAAAAGGTTTGAACTGTAATATGCAATATCTAGAAGGAACCAACATGTGGTGGTTCCAAGTAAGTGAAGACCATGTATGCGTGCAAATTGCTTGCTAAACAAACCAAAATTGTTGTCATCTCTCATGGTTATCTCATCTACCTTTTCTTCCTTAGCTTCAATTTCAACTTGCAAAACCTTTGACATGTCTTGTGCTGCTTGTTTTGTATTCTTGGCAACAAGTGCTGTGTACCTTGCTGTCTCAGGCATTTGCATGCGCCAGTAGTAAGTAAGAGCAGCAGGTATAGCACCGAACATCAAAATTATACGCCAAACATAATCAGCTTGAGGCACAAGTGATGCTGCAGCGTTAACTGCATATGATGGAGCATTGTATGCATGATTAAATGCACTTGAAACTATGAGGGAAACAACAGCACCAGCCAAAATTCCAAAGCCTTGCATAGCAAAAACTGAAGCTATGAATGCCCCACGAGTCTTTTTGTTTGCATATTCAGACATGATGGTGGCAGAGAGAGGGTAATCACCACCAATGCCAAATCCAAGCCAGAACCTGAAGAAACATAGTGTGGATATGACACCCTTTGCAGTATGTCCAAAAGAAAGGCCAGATGCAAGAGAGGACCCAACCATAAGGGCAAGTGTTATGCCATAAACCTTTTTCCTACCAAGTTTATCTCCAAGCCAACCAAAAAAAAGTTGGCCTGCTAAAGTGCCACAAAGTGCAACACCATTCACTGCAGCAGACACATTTGGAGGCAGTGTCCCTGGCTTTGGTGCACCTTCAACTGTGTAGTATATTCTCCCAAGCAACTTTGTAACATTTGGTATGCTGAAAAGATCATACGCATCCGTGAAGAATCCCATACCAGCTATGACGATGGCAGTGAAGTGGTACATTTGTGTTTTGGCTGCATCAAGGGCATTAAGCACCACTAGGTTCTCACGAGCCATAGCTAGATTTGTAAGCTGCAACTAGTACTCTTGTTCCAATGTTCAAGAATTCTGGTACAGGAACAAGTTATATATGATTTAGTGTTCAAGATTTTCAAGTATGAGCTAAGCTTATGGCTATTAGAATAATCTTAATTTGGCGGCCCCTTACACTATTAAAAAAGCTGATTTGCGACGGAATTCCATCACAAATTCCATCGCAAATAAAATTTGCGACGAAATGCAATCATTTGCGAGGGAATTTGATAGTTTGCGACGGATTTTATCCATCGCAAATCAACTTTTTTTTATTAGTGATATTTTGTTTGATTGTTCATACTAAATATTAGACTTTCACAAATAATTGTGTAGTTAAAGTTATTCAAATTGAATATACCACTAACGTGTTCAATTTTCAAAGCAAGTCATTTTTAAACACACCCTGAAAGGAAAATACATAATGGTACTTTGATGCTAACATTGAAAAGGAAGATGCACATTTTTCTATGGTGAATATTATCAGCCCAAGCTTTAACTAAATTGATGATGATGATGCCAATCTCGTATGTGTGAGAAGAAAGGAGCAATACTACTACTTTGTATCACAACTGTTCACAACTTCGTAAGTAGAAACAATTGAAATATTAGATAGAAAACCTGTAGTTAGTTACAGTCAGTTGTCCACGACCAAAAGTGTTGTGTAAGTGAGAGAGAGGGACTAACCTGATTTAATTTATGAAATTATATGCACAGAAATCGGGACACAGAATTGTGTTGTCTGTGTTATGGATGAAGGGAAAGGATTGAAAGCCAATAGTGTGATATATAAAGTGCAACCACCATGACAACTGAAATTTATCACCGGTCGGAACACAAGATTGATGGTGCTCTAAGAAAAAGACCAGATGAAACATCACTGTCAACACCACCATGAGGTGGCGGGTCATCAGTTGTTCATTTTTGTCCTCTTGCCGACCCTAGCATTTTAATTTACCACGTAATCGTCTCCAATAAAATTAACTCTCTTACATGGACAATATTGAAACACTTGCCACTTTGATATGGTTTGCAGGTGCGTGATGATGTTAGCAAGAACTATTATTTTTGGGTTACGATGGTAATAAGAATTAGAGTAGGATATTCTAACAATCAGTTAGTATTATTATTAATCTTACTATCAATTAATTTTATCGTTAGATCGATTATGTTGATCCAATGGTTATATTTATTTTCATCTTTGTATGGTTATGATTCCTCCTATTTAATGTGAAAGCATTAAATATAGGAAATCATAACCATACAGAAGTGAAAATAAATATAAAATATTAAATATGAGGAATTATAACCATATAAATATGAAAATAAATATAACCGTTGGATCAATATGATCGATATAACGGTGAAATTGATTAGTAGTAATACTAATTGGTTATTACAATATCCTTCTCATTATTTAATTAAAAAACTTAAACGAATTCTTTTAATATATATATTTTTATTTAGATCTTTTACAGGGAAAGTTTACATTTTATAGAATAAATTTCTTTTAATAGTTAATGACAAAATTAAAAGTTTGAAATTTTATTATCTTGTGCAGTATACATATATTTTACATAATTTAAAAGATAAATACTTAAGAGAGAAAATATAAAATTACGGAGAAAATTTGCATAATTAATTCAAGTATAATATAAAAAGTATAGAATATTTAAAATCATGAAGAAGACTTATATAATCAATTCACAACAAATAAAACTTAATATTGAAAAGAAGAAAAATTACGCAAATGTCATTTCTTAAAAAAAGAGCTCATGGAGAGATACCAATATAATAAAGAGAAAAAAGTATTTAATATCACTTTACATAATTTTGTCTAATATTCACTGAAATGACGTTATTTTGAGGTTGGAAAATTAAAAAATTATAACGATAAAGACTATCATAACTCTGAAATAAATTAAAGTTATAAATACACCATGATTTTTGCCCAAAACGATGTCGTTTCGATAAACATTAGACAAAATTATTTAAAGTAATTTTAGAAAAAATGAACCCTATAATAATTATGAATATGTGATAATGTGTTTTTATTTTCTCATCAATTATTGTAGTTTTACAACTGTAATGCCAAATCAGTGAGTATTTTACACCAATAATTAAAACGACGGTCAACAAAATTGAATTCTATTTCAAAAAATTCACCCATGGCGGCAACAACATTAACCAAAACCTTTTTTATCTCACTTTTTCTTCTTAATTATTAAAATTTGCTTGCTCCCTTAATGGTAGTAATCAACGATATTCAAGGAATACCAAAACGGCCATGAGCGGAGGAGGAGCTTGCTTATGGTCATTGGTCAACGTAGCAAATCAAAACTTTTTTTTATAGGAATTCAATTGAGTTGGACAAAACAACGTATAATATTCTTCTTAAACTGAATAATTTGATAACTAAAATATTACCTTACTTTTCATCAAAGTCGTAATATGAAACAATCATATCCGTTTGGGTCACATATTTAATTTGTCTAATCTTTATTGCAGCAACACGTACGCCTAATGCCTACGTTATGAGCTGCATTATGTTGAACATTTTATTGGTCTTCTCTTTATGTCTCACTAATTAATAATTAAATAAGCTTGACAGGTTTGAATGCCTTTTATATTGTTCAATTGTGTGACATGATTAACTTATCCCAATTGAACAAGAAAGTAATAAATTACAATCATGTTATCGTCTCTAGTCATCATTTTTGAAAAAGTTGTTGATTGGTGTTGAATTTGATATAATATTCTTGAAGAACTATAAAGCTAACTCTGAAGTTTCGGCACCGCGCGAATTCAGGTCTTCGACGATTTTTCTTATCTATTCATTCAATGCTTTGAATATGAGGTTATAATATTTTGTGGGTAAAGCTCATCAATATTTCTGTGATTTGTTTCAGAATTACTTATGTCTTTGTGGTTTTTTTTCCATCACATATGTTCCTGTGATTTGCAAAAGGGTATGTTTTTTTATCATATGCTCATGTGGTTTTTTATTTTTTACAAAACACATGAGCATATGTGATAGAAAAAAAATTACATGGACATAAGTGATTCTGAAGCAAACCACGTGGGCATTGGTGAAGTTTCAATAAAATTGTTCATTTGTCTATGCTAACGGAAATTATGGAGATAATTAAAGGAAGAAGAAGATTTGGGAGAGATAGAATATTGAGAAAATTGGAAAAGTGAGATTTGTAATATTTTCTTTTTTATACTTTTCTCATTCATACTATTACTATTTTTATTTTATTTGTTTTTGGATATAATAATTGTATTCATGTTCAAATTTATAACCTCATGTAAATTGTAAACTACTCGAAATTTTTTTCATTGATATGCTAATCTTAATGGCTTAATATTACTTGAACTTGTTAAAGAGTTTTTTTTTTCCAGCGCGAGTACAAGTCTAAACAGAATTGTTGTACTTTGTACTCAATTTCTACAGCACAAAAATAAAGAAAAAACAATCTTTCAAAAAAAATAAAAAATAATAAAGGGATATTTCATTGATAAAATTATCTCCATCAATTCAAAATTACATCATTTTGGGAATTGAAAAAATTAATTAATAATTTTTTAGAAATTTTATCTGTTCCTTGTTATAAATTTTTTTTTAAAATATTCTTTATTAATTCTCTTAATTCTCAAAATGACATAATTTTAAAATTAATGAAAATAATTTTATCTCTAAATTGATGGAAAAACGATAAATCATAGGTAAATAAGCTAGCTGGTTATTGGTGGAGTTATCGTAGCCCACAGTAGCATTTGGGCTTGGTGATAAATTTTCTAATCATATGGGTTTCTTTGGACTACCACCGCATCAATTGTCCGTGTGAGTGGACTTCATTTACCCAAGTCAATTGTCCGTCTGAGTAAAGAAATGGTTGATTGATCATTTTTTATTTTCTTTAATTCTATTTCACTTTACTTCATTTTTAAATTATATATTAATCTGTTTTTTTTAATTTGTTCTTGTTTGACTAAAGTTTGATCAAATTCTTATTTTAGGTAAGTCATTTATTCCCATACGAGATTTATTTACTCAAATAAATATTGTTCAAAATTTATTTAAATAAGAGCAGATTGGTATATAATTTAAAAAATAAGATAGATTTATATATAATTTAATAAGAGGAGCAAAATGATATTTTTTTAAAAATGACAAAATAGTTAATCAGTAATAAACAAATATATTTGATAAGACAGATTTTAAGATGTGTATATTAAATAAATAAAGCTTTTTTGTTTCAATTTGCAAATCCTAATAACACATTATATCATATGTGTATATAATAAATAATGGGTTTGGGAATGAAAAAAGATGTTTGTTTTTGAATATTTGTTCTTTATTCTCTGAAAGATAAAAATAAAATAGACTGATTTTATCAAACTCAATTCATAATCATACCTGTTCTTTATACTTGTTAGCATCAAAACATGGAAGTTTTATTTTATTTTTTAAAATTAAATTTAAAAATAAAAGACACAGAAAATTATCGTGAAAAAAACCTCCTGAACCTCACTGGAGTAAAACAATACTAAAATTAAAAAATATATAAATTTTTTGAAAACGTCATCACACCATTATATCTTAACATATATAAGTGCAAGTTGATTAGGTGTCCTATTGTTTTAATTTTCTGCATCTCTTAAGATTTGGTGCATATATAAAGGCTCTTTGATTAATTATTCTGCATTCCGACAAGTGGTGGAGCCTCCATGCAAGTTGTTCAAATATAAAAACAAATCCCAGCGCCTAAACCTACGAAGAAAAACGCCAAATTCCACTCTGCCACTTAATTAACTCACCATTCTCATATGAACTTTCAATAATGTCCATTATTTTAATTTTTTATTTGTTCCTTTGTTTTGTTAGTTTTGTGAAGAGAATAGATAGCGAAAACCTTTTATAAAATATTTTCTTTTAATAGACAAGAACATATTTTAATATCATGATTTATTTTAATAATTTAATATCCTAATTTAAATTAAATTAAAAACAGTTTAAAAAAAGCAAACTAAAAAAAAAACTTCAACTATTCACATGTAGGGTGCGTGAAGACTCCGCACATGTGGACAAGGACAACTATTAAACTATTCACCTCGATCTGCATCAAAGCCTAAAAATCATTTCACAGGTATTGATGAATAATCTCACTTTGGAGCAGGGTGACCGAACCGATCCAAATCGATTCAAATCGCGGTGACCGAACCGAAAAACCGAGAACCGAATAAATCAAAAATCGAAAAACGAAAAAAAAATCGCAAATTTTAATTGGATTGGATCGGTTTTTGGATGGGTTGATGCAAACCGATCCAATATGTTAATTTCCCTCTACCTACTTGGATCTTTCCCCAATCATAGCCCAAAAATTTTTAAACCCAAAACTCATTGGGTATCAAACTATCAAATAAAACCAAGAAAAAATCTAGTCACATCTCATCAACAATTTTATATTTGTAGAGTTTCATATCTCATTGCCAAAAAAAATATATATTATAGTTTACTAATGTTTTTGTATTTATAAAAATAATAATTTACAAAGCCAATATATACAAAAGATGTTATTTGCATAATAATTATGAAATAAATTTTAGAATTTTTAAAAAACCGAAAACCGATTCAATTCAAACCGAAAAAAATTGGATTGGATCAGATCAGATTTGAAAAAAATCCAAACCGAACGGATGATTACATGATCAAACCGAAGGGATTGGATCAGATGATTTTTGCTTCCAAAACCGATCCAATCCCAACCGCGAACACCCCTACTTTGGAGTAAACTTAAAAATATAATAAAGAAGTGATTAAAATAAATGTATTCAAAAGATAATAATATTTTTCTGACTTTAGCAAAATTTTAAAAAATTTCCTTAGACTGAAAATTGTTAGCATTGTGGAAGTTGTCATTGTGCATATGAATGTAGCTTTTGATTAACTTGGCCTTATTGTTTCGTGTTTACTATTTACGTGCTTCTTCAATTGTTGAAGTAGAGATTGAAATCAAAAGGCTTTCAATGGCAAATTGTTCCAAAAACACAAAATGGAAGTACCATGTTTTCTTGAGTTTTAGAGGAGAAGATACACGCTTAGGTTTCACTGATCACTTATATGCAGCCTTGGTGCGCAAGAGTCTAATAACATTCAGAGATAATGAAGAACTTGCAAGAGGTGAAGTCATCTCACAAAAACTCCTCATTGCAATTGAGGAATCTCTTTCTGCAGTTGTCATAATCTCCAAAAACTATGCTTCCTCATCTTGGTGTTTGGATGAGTTAGTTAAGATTCTTGAATCCAAACATGTGTTGGGACAAGAAGTGTTTCCAATCTTCTATGGTGTGGATCCCTCTGATGTAAGGAATCAAAGGGGTACTTTTGCAGAAGCTTTTAGGAAACATGAAAAAAAATTTGTACGAAACAAAGACAAGGTGCAAAAGTGGAGAGATGCATTAAAAGAAGTTGCTAACTTGTCAGGGTGGGACTCTAAGGATCAGTAAGTGCATGCGTTTGTTGTCATTTCAGTTGTAAACTTTATATATGATGATTTTGTAAATTAATTGGTCTTTTTCATTTTATATAATTTTAATTTATGAGTTGATTGTTTTGGTTTTTTTCTTTTTATGTAGACATGAAACAAGACTCATTGGAGAAGTTGTAGCACAAGTATGGAAAAAACTGGAACCAAAATTCCCAACATATAATGATGGATTGGTTGGAATTGACACAAGATTAGAAGATTTGTATTCAACTCTGAAGCTAGAATTGGAGGATGTTCGTTTCATTGGGATATGGGGCATGGGTGGTATAGGAAAAACAACTCTCGCTGCTACTCTTTTCAAGAAAATCAGGAACCATTTTGATGTTAGTTGCTTTGTTGCCAATGTTAGAGAGGTGTCGGGGGAAAGAAACCAAGGTTTGCTACAGTTACAAGATAAAATTCTTTCTCATCTAAATATAAAAGGAATGGTAACTGAAACTTTAGGCCAAGGAAAGGACAGCTTAAGAAACATTTTATCCAACAAAAAGGTTCTACTTGTCCTTGATGATGTAAGTTCAAAAACCCAACTTGAGAATTTGGCTGGAAACCAAGAATGGTTTGGTCCAGGGAGTAGAATTATAGTCACAACTAGGGATAAGCACTTGTTGATATCCCATGGAGTATTGTTTGAAATGTATGAAAGTAAAATCTTAAATAATAATGAATCCCTTCAACTCTTTTGTGAGAAAGCATTTAAAGAAGCTGATCCTGAAGAGGATTATTTGTTGTTGTCTAAAAATGTAGTTGAATATGCTGGAGGTCTTCCCTTGGCTCTTGAAGTGTTGGGTTCTTTTCTTTGTGGAAGAAGTATATCTGATTGGGAAGATGCTTTGATTAAGATTAAACAAGTTCCACATGATGATATCCTAAAAAAACTTAGAATAAGTTATGACATGTTAGAAGATGAGCTCAAGACCATATTTCTAGATATTGCCTGTTTTTTTAAGGGATGGTACAAACATAAAGTGACACAACTATTGGACAATTGTGGCCTTCACGCAACTGTTGGATTAAATGTTCTTATAGAAAAATCACTTGTGACTTCCGATGGAAGAGTTATTGGGATGCATGATCTACTTGAAGAAATGGGTAAAACTATAGTTTTTCAGGAATCACCTAATGATCCTGGTAAACGGAGTAGATTGTGGTCTCTAGAGGATGTTGATGAAGTGCTGAGAAAAAATAAGGTAAGTGCTAGTTTTAATGTGACATTACTTTTGCTGCATTCCTTGTGTTTTATGTTACTTATTTGACTATTATTGTTTATTAGGGAACTGAAATTGTCCAAGGTATAGTTCTGAAGCCTGCACCATCTAAGCCATATGAAGCTTTACATTGGGACCCTGAGGCTTTCTCAAAAATGTGTAATCTCAGACTACTAGTTGTATTACGTAATTTGCATCTACCCTTTGGTCTCAAATGTCTTTCTAGCTCACTAAAAGTTCTTGTATGGTGCGGATATCCATTGAATGCTCTACCACTTGGAGTTCAACTAGATAAGCTTGTTCACCTACAAATGAACAACAGCAAAGTTAAGCAACTATGGAATGGAACTCAGGTAAGAATGCTCAATTAATAGCTTTTAGATAACTTAATATCAGCCTAGGATTTTTCAAATGCTAATCAGTTTCTTATTTTTTTTATTCAGTATGTTAGAAAGCTGAAAATAATTAATCTGAATAATTGCAAAGATCTACGTCAAACTCCAGATTTTTCTGGAGCGCCATATCTTGAAGAGTTGTATCTGAATGATTGTACAAAACTTGCTGAAGTTCACCATTCAATTGGACAACACAAAAAGCTCCAGATATTGAGCTTGATAGGATGTGTAAACCTTAAAACCTTTCCAAGTAAATTGGAAATGTGTTCCCTGAAAACGTTCTTGCTTTCTGATTGTTCAAACATTGAGAGACTTCCAGATATGGGGGAAAACATGACATGCCTCTCTGTCCTTAACTTAATGAATTGTGATAAAATATTTTGCCTCCCAAACAGCATTAGTAACTTGAAGTCTCTCAAGACTCTCAACATATCAGGATGCTCAAAAGTTTGTTCCCTACCAGACAATATAAACCAAAACAAGGCTTTGGAGGATCTTGACTTGAGTGGAACTGCTATTAGAGAATTGCATCCATCCCTACTTCAGTTACACAATCTCAAAAGGTTATCTTTCAGGGAATGTAGTAAACCAACATGCTTAACATTGCCTCCTTTTGTCTCAGGTCTTTCCTCATTAACTGTTTTGGATTTGAGCTATTGCAATCTCACTGATCAGTCAATTCCTTCTGATCTTCATTGCTTATCATCATTGGAGAGACTAATTTTGAGTGGCAACAATTTTATCCATTTCCCTGATCATTTCATTGCTAATATTCCAAAGCTTCGTTGCCTTGAATTGGAAGATTGTTCACAGCTTCAATCGTTGCCAGTGCTTCCACCACATGTGCGCTTGTATGTAACAGATTTAGCTGAGAGGGAAGCTAAACAGTTAGATGAAGAAAAGCTATGGAAGTTGTTTGAATCAAGTGACAAAGAGCTCTTTCAGTCACCTGTATATCGCGTATGTGCTTTTTCTACATATTTTAAATTTTTCCATACATCAGACATACTATGTTAATTAAATTTAGCGCATATAACTTTTTAACTCGATTAGCACAAAAAAGTCACATGTTATGTACGACGTATGGATGAATTTTTCTTACTTTTGTAAATTATTTACTAACCACTCCATGTTAAATCCAGACTAATAAGGATTAGGACGAGGATAATCCTTGTACATGGTCTTAACCATTGTGTATTTTTAAGAAAGTTGTTGTACGAATTCGAACTTGTGACATTTTCAGTCACATAGGGAAAACTTTAGAGTAGCGGTAAAGTTGCTCCTCGTGAATAAAAGGTCACGGGTTCAAGTACGGAAAACAACCTCTCTACAAAAATGCAAGAGTAAGGCTGCTTACTCCATTCCTCTCGCAAATCGAAAAGTCTTGAGTTGAAAAACTCTCTTTGTTACAGATGTTTGATTATGATGATCCTATGTACGTGGAACTCCCACCACGGTCAGATAATCAGAAATTTTTACCCTTGAGCTCATCATATGCGTCAGAAAGTGATTCATTTGCATCAGTAACAATGGAAGTTCCTGATGATTGTCGTTCAAGTGATTGGTGGGGAGTTGTTGTATTTTTTGCCTTAGAAGCTCCTGAATTTACTACGGACAATCCCATGCTTCTTATTTGGAGCTTTGAGTCTCAGGATCCTGCAGATGGAACCTCCTTATTTTTGGTCGCAGTTTCAACAGAAAGTAAAGAACTTCACATGTTAACAATGATCGTGAGTGGTGATTATATATACATTCGGAGACACCAAATTGGGAACAGCGAGCTCAATGGGCGTCCCTTTAGCAAGCATCCAAAGAGAGAGTTGAGGGAAATCAGAATGCTGCGTTTTGAAGTTGTAACCCCTGGCTGCAAGATAAGGAAGTGTAGGTGGCGTGTGTTGCGCAAGGAAGATAGTCTTCAAGAATTGCAAATGTTGTACAACAGCAAACTTTTTGAGACACCTTCTGATTCTGAGCATTCAAGTGGTATGAGCAAATCAACTATGGATGAATCTGAGGGAGTGGAAGCTACTGCTTCTGATGAGCATAACATTGAAAAACCTGATGAGAACTTGTTGGTAAGTGACCTTCCAATATTCACATGCAATTAATTAAGATGGTTTGATGGTTGTATTGTATTCTCTTTGTGCATCTCATAATGTTTTAACAAGAAATGTTTTATTTGATTGGTTTAGTTAACTTATATGGAAAAAAGAAACCAATTTCAAAACAAGAAAAAGTGAAAATAATATCAAAACCTTATGTCTCCAACGTGGGACTCTAAGTCTCATGCAATGCCAGCATGATCAGTGACACTATCGATTGATACAAATTCTAGAAGAACCTCAATTCAAAGCTAGCTCATAAGGTAGGAGAGTCTAAAGTTTATATAAATCCCACACCAAAACCTTATGTTTCTGATGTGAGACTCCAAATCGCATACCTTGCAATAGAATCATAACAAACTGAAAATAGAATGGAGAAATGGAGAGTGAGAAAACAGAGAAAACTTATGTGAAGATTCTGATTGTTACTACTAAAAAACTTCTTTAAGCTGTTATAGTCATAGGTATTTATAATGGTGAAAGTAGTGTAACTAACTTTGAAACTATGTATCTTCAACTGCAACTAACTTCTAAGTCAAACACTTTCGTAATATGCATTATATACATACAACAGCAAAGTAGACATAAGCCAGTTTAATATCCATAATACTCTAAGATTCCTCCCCCGTCAAGCTTATGGTTCATGGAGCAACTGGAGGAGGTTCAAGACTTTGAGTTTGACACGTAAGTAACAAAATCTAGTTACAAACTAGCCATTGCAAAGAGATTGTTTCTTGAACTCCAACTTTCAGTTACAAACTAGCAATGTTACAAATTATTTTATTTTTTTGTTCCTCTTAAGTTAAATTATGAAACAAAATTTTGGGTTCACCGTGATTGGAGTTAAGGACAAATCTATCTAACATGTGCTACCATTGTGTCTTTGTTGCAGGGAAAAATGTTTCACCATATTAGACAAGGAGTGGGTTTAAGCGCGCTAGCTTTGATGTCAATGATGATAGGTGCTACACTATACCTTTCGCCTAAGCAAGGCTTTAAACTGCACAGCCCAACAAATGAGGCCACAACTAAACTATTAAAATCACGTTATGGAATCGGAATTAAGGTCAATAAACCGCAATTTCTACGCAAACATAACACAAATGCAAGCCAGCGATTGTCATTTTCAGCACATCAGCCACCAAGGAGGTTGAGTTTCTATCGGTTATTTAACTAGATGAGAAACTTTATGCTCCATCAGAGTCTCGTTATTTTTAAGTACTTTATGTTTCATTTATTTAATTCTAACAGGACCTTGTAACGAAGCTCATTTTTGGAAACTTTTTTATTAAAAGGTTTTGTTCTGCATCAGTCTCTTGAGCCCAATATGAAGGCCGAGCTTTTGTACCCTTAACAAAAGTTTTCTTTCGCACCTAATTTCTAGAGAGCATTTTTAGTTCTCTCTTGACTTTTGCATCCAATAATGGGTATTACTCTTGTTCAAAATTTGACACCTGTGTTATGAATAAATTATATATTCCTGAAAATATATAGACAAAGTATTAGAGTTGTTTTTTCTCTTCTTAAAAAAACATGTTAGCAGATGTGACTTGTTCCCATTGGACGGATATAAATGAGACAATATGTTGCCTCTCACCTTTGTGAGATTCACCTAAAAAATTTTGCTACTATATATACCTCACTTGTAACATCCCGAGCGCTGACGAGAGCGGGGAGTGATCGTCGGTGCGAAGAGACACGGACAAGGAGCGGCTCTTGACAGGCTTCTAGCGGGGGTTACATGCATGGATGAATCGAATCGACACCCGAAAGAGAGAGATTCCAAAGACTGTGCAGATGTGAGACTGCACAGTTTGGGATAGCTTATAAGAATTAATTGGTACTACCTATACTAACAAGATGCATCTACTTTTCAGTAGCCCGGAACGGAAGAACTCCATAGTTAAGCGTGCTTGACTTGGAGCGATTCTGGGATGGGTGAGCTCCTGGGAAGTTTTCTCAAAAAGTATGCGAGTGAGGAAAAAGCACACTGAAAAGTCTCGTGTTAGTATGTGGGTATCAGAGCAGGGCCTCTCTCCCAGTACGGTGTGGTTCGAGGACGAACCAGGCGGAAGCTGGTGGGCATGTAACATCCCGAGCGCTGACGAGGGCGGGGAGTGATCGCCGGTGCAAAGAGGCACGGACAAGGAGCGGCTCCTGACAGGCTTCCAGCGGGGGGTTACATGCATGGATGAATCGAATCGACACCCGAAAGAGAAGGATTCAAAAGACTATGCAGATGTGAGACTGCACAGTTTGGGATAGCTTATAAGAATTAATTGATACTACCTATACTGAAAGAAAATGGCCTTGAAGGCCGATGACATGTGAGGATGAAAACAAAAAAAATTTCAAAGCGGAATCACACATGCTAATCAAGATACATGCTTTAAGACAGTATGATGTACCTTGTTCATGATTCAAAACTCTAAGATGATCAGTGTTAGGTTTGAAGGTTCAAACCCTCCAACGTTGATCCACACCACCCTACGTCAAGATGCAAGAACCCTTCTTGAAAAGCCACCAAACGAACACCACAAGGAAGACACTTTAGGCATCCCAATAGGAGAAGAAGGAGGCAAGGTTAATGTATTTAGATGAGTGAATTTTTCAGCATGAAAAACTCACAAAGTGGCGCATGGATTCTATGAGAAAAGGCTAGGTAATTTTCGAAAAACCCTAAAGAGAACCTCACAAAAGGAAGCACATTTGGAGATGAGAGAATGATTGAATTGAATCAGATTTTTCTCCCAAAATCTGACCTATGTAGCGCCCAATGGTGGAGGAATAAGTGGAGTTGTTGCAATTCAAATCTAGCCAACAACCTCCTATCATATCCTCATGAGACTAAGTCTATACCTAGTCAAAAATCTGACTTAATAACCATCATATGGCCAGCCATATGGTGCGCCCTTATTCAGCCCAAAAAGAGTCCAAATACATTGAGTAGTTGCATTCAAATTTGAACCAACTCACTCACTTATTCTCTCAACCAACCAAATCTGATTGGAGCTTATTTGGTTGATCATATGACCATCATAAGACCCCAAAATCAGCGCCTCAAATCCGCCTTGGATGATGCCCAAAGATCTCCTCTTGATACTTGGGATTTGTTACAACAAGATCTTATCTTATCCTTTTGTTATGAAACAACTTTTCATAGCCAATTCAAATTGGAATTCATACATTTAAATTCAAACGTTAAAACATTCAAATTCAAAATTCAAAATTTAAATTTTAAATTTAAATATTTGATAATTAATTTAACTAATTAAATTAATTAATAATGTCTTGGACCATCCAAGCCCATTACATGTACCATGTGCCCTTTCCCTCTTAGGTGGGCTTCCAAACTTCTTCTTGGGCTAACAACCTTTATTAGGCCCAATACCTTTAATGCTATATTCATCAAGACAATAAGGTGTTAGTGTGTGACCTATTAGGTCCAACATAGCCACTGACATAAATGGGCTTGGGCCCAACAAGCCCACAACCCATTTAATGACAACACAGAGCACTAGCAATGCTTTGTTGCCCCAGAACTAGTAAGGTTAATGACATGATCATCCTATTACATATATTTGGTTACCGTATGTATTTCCTTTCGTCTCGATTACCTTCCCTTTAAACCTAGGGTGAGAAAATGTATCAACCCTTGCGGTTTAGGGTAAGCTTTAATTCGAAATAGGGAATCTTCAATTTACTGACTCTAAAGGAAGATCATCTCATGATCTCTTTTACTATGCTTAGTTTCCTGAGTCGTGTAAATGTCATCCTGATTTTTCCGGTTTACAGATAACCTAATCCTTTATAGAGATTTGACGAATTCCTTTCGCTTATCACCCTAGGCATGTGCTCTTTCAGGACATGCCCAAAAGTATACCTATGAGTCTCCATGTTTCAGGCAGACGAGGTATACAATCAAAACATGCCTTCTAGAACACAGTCTAGGTGACAACTTATGGTCTAAAGAAAGACATACCCAAATATTAAGAGACTAATGTAATGATACTTTTGTAAGATTTCCTTATAGAGTCTCTTTGTGAGTCTGTTCAGTGCGAGTTATACCCTTATAGGTCCACCCACGACTTTAGCTAAGACATCTCCATATCTGTAGCTCATGAGGTCTTTACCTTGTATCCGAATACAAGTAGATAAGTCGTGCTAGTCTTACCCGAGATTACTGATCCCCATTCTCAGTGTCTCTAGACTAGGAACATAAAATTAGGAATAAACATCTAGTATCCTTAAATCCTCATGATCGTGATCTTATCACATATACTCAAGAGATACCTATTTTATTCCAAGGGGTTTATCCAGTTACTCATATAATATATTAACAATAATATTGAGACCAAATATGAAACAGGATAAAGAGTGCTTATTATTTATTTGCGACAATATAAAAAGGTCCACATATGTGCTAATCTAATCAAAAGATTGTCTCTAGGACATCCATATACTAACAAGCTCCCACTTGGCCTAGAGCCAATCTGACCTAAGTCGTATACTTAAAGCCTCATAATGACTATCATGTTTTCTCTGAGAAACAGCCTTCGTCAGAGAATCGGCTAGGTTATCATCTGTGGGAACATAATCTATCTTTACATCCATTCTATCAATGATTTCTATAATCAAGTGATATCTGTGGAGCACGTGCTTAGATCTTTGATGAGACCTAGGTTTCTTTGACTGCGCAATGGCTCCTGTGTTGTCGCAAAGCAACTGTATGGGCTCATCCACGCTTGGAACCACCCTTAGTTCAGATATGACCTTCTTGATCCACACGGCCTCTTTAGCCGCTTCAGAAGCAGCTATGTATTCAACTTCTGTCGTTGAATATGTTGTAGTCTCCTGTTTGGAACTCTTCCAAGACATTGCCCCACCATTTAAGGTGAATACGAATCCTACTGTGACTTGCAGTCATCTTTGTCACTCTGAAAGCTGGCATCAGTGAATCCTTTCACTGAAAGCTCATCAACCCCACCATAGACCAGAAGCACATCCTTAGTTCTTCTCAAGTACTTAAGGATGGTCTTGACTGTTGTCCGTCCAGTGACCTTCTCCAGGGTCTGTCTGGTATCTGCTCGTAATGCTCAAGGCATATGAGACATCTGGTCTCGTACATATCATGGCATACATGATGGATCCAATAGCCGCAGCGTATGGAATTCCACTCATGCGATCCTTCTCAGACTGTGACTTAGGACACATAGCCTTGGAAAGTTGTACCCCATGACTGACGGGAAGAAAACCCCTTTTTCGACCCTTCCATGCTAAACCTCTTTAGCATATTGTCAACATACGTGGATTGAGATAAACCCAGCAGCCTCTTGGATCTATCTCTATAGATCTTTATACTATGTATAAAGGCCGTTTCTCCCAAATCTTTCATAGTGAAGCTTTTTGAAAGCCAGTCTTTCGTTGTTTGTAATGTGGGGATGTTATTTCCTATAAGTAATATGTCATCTACATAAAGTACCAAGAAAACGACATTACTCCCACTAACCTTCTTGTAAACACAAGGTTCATCCTCGTTCTTGATGAAATCGTTACTCCTAACGACTTCATCAAAACTAATATTCCAACTCCTTGATGCTTGTTTTAGCCCATATATTGACCTTTGAAGTTTGTATACCATATGATGTTGGCCTTTGGCTTCAAAACCTTCAGGTTGTGTCATGTACAGTTCCTCCTTTAAGAATCCATTCAGGAAGGCAGTCTTGACATCCATTTGCTAAATTTCATAGTTGTGATATGTTGTTATGGCAAGCATGATCCTAATAGATTTGATCATGGAAACTGGTGAGAAAGTCTCATCATAGTCAACTCCTTGTCTTTTACGATATCATTTCGCAACCAACCTATCTTTGTAGGTTTGAACGTTGCCATTTGCATCAGTCTTTCTTTTAAAGACCCATTTATTACCGATAGGAACTATTCCTTGCGGTTTTGGAACCAAGGTCCATACCTTGTTTTGATGCATCGAATCTATTTCAGATTCCATGGCTTCAAGCCATTTAGAGGAGTCAACATCCTTGACCGCCTCCTCATATTTATTAGGTTCATCATCCTCAACAGTTTGTTGATTCTCAATCACAAGCCCATACCTCTCAGGTGGATAGATGACCCTAGTAGACCTATGGAGTTGTGTGTTTACTTCTCCATTGGAGAACA